AATTTTCCTGTCTCGTATTCTGTTTAAGGGACATCTAAAAATCCAAAATTGATCTGTTGCCCCTCTGTAACTCTTAGAATCTGTATTATAAATATGCACTGTATACTTTTAATGTTTGTAAATCTAATGTGAACAGAGAATTACTAGTAAATAAAAAAAAATGCATAAGAAACTTGAATATAAGTTAAAAAGAGAGTATAAATGTCAGCAAGGAGACATGTTAAATTATTTAAGAAAGTACAACCCGCGAACTTTTTACAAAACGTTTAGGAAACGTAAACAAAATTTAAATGTGGATTTAAATGTAGAAGATTTTTACCATCACTTTTATTCATTGGGATCTGGTGAGCACGCGATAGACAGGGACATATCCGACTATCTTAATGATTATGACGTGAAGTCTGAGGATCTACTTCCTCATGAACTAGATACAGAAATAACTGAGATGGAGATTCTGGCTGCTATTAAAAAACTTAAAGCTAACAAAGCTTGTGGACAAGATGGAATTTTTAATGAATATTTTATCAATTGCAAAGATATTTTAATGCCATGTTTATTGTTATTATTCAATAACATATTCAAGTCTGGTTGTTTCTGATCATCGTGGTCACTTGGTAATATAGTTCCTGTTTTTAAAAAAAGGTGACATTAATAACACGGACAACTATAGAGGTATCACCTTGTTAAGTTGTGCTGGTAAACTTTTTACTGCTATCATAAATGAAAGACTCGTATCGTTTGAAATGAAATATAATAAAGTAACAGACGCCCAGTTTGGATTTAGAAAAAAACGCTTCTACTGTAGACGCCATTTTCGCTATACAATCTTTAATTAATCGTACTTTAAAAAAAAAAAAAAAAAAAAAACCTCTCTATTGTTGTTTTATAGATTATACAAAAGCGTTTGATTTTGATTTTATTAATAGACATACTTTATGGTATAAAATGATCAAAGAAGGTGTAGAAGGTAAAGTTCTTAAAGTGATCAGATCATTATATAAAAGTGTGAAATGTTGTGTTAAATATAATGGTACTCTCTCCGAATTTTTTTATATTGAAAACGGATTATTTCAGGGGGAAATATTATCACCCCTTTTGTTTGCTATATATGTAAATGATTGTGAAATGCAGTTTTTATCACCTAATTGTCCATCTATTGAAATACAGGATATCAACAATGTTTTTACTTATGTATGCAGATGATATGGTGATTATATCTGAAACACCAGAGGGTTTGCAAACAATGTTAGACTCTCTTGCAAATTATACCAAAAAATGGGATTTGACCGTAAATACTGGGAAAACAAAAATTGTCGTGTTTAGAAATGGAGGGATATTAAGGGGAAATGAAATATGGTTTTACGAAGGAAATAAATTGGATGCCGTCGATCAATTCAATTACTTTGGTGTACTATTGAATTTTAACGGAAAATTTAGACATACTCAAAAGCAAGTTGCTGACCAGGGGAGAAAAGCTTTGTTTGCATTATTAAATGTTTGTAAGAAAAAATATTTTTAAATAGAAACTCAATTGTCTGTTTTTGATACTTATGTAAATAGTGTTTTAAGATACGGAGCAGAAGTATGGGGCTTCCATGCTGCACCAGACATCGAAAAATTGCATGTGAGATTCTGCAAACAAATATTAGGATTACATAAAAAAACTAGTAATGTTATGGTGTATTATGAACTTGGAAGATATCCCATGAAAATAGTTAGAAAACTACGAATATTCAAATATTGGATAAAACTGAGAAATGTAGGAAATTGTATGCTAAGGTCATGCTATGATGATATGCTTTGTAATAATGACATTTGGTTAATGAGTGTAAAACAAGAAATATACAGAATTGGTCTTGGAAATGTATGGGAATCCTCCAGTTTAAATAATAGCACTTTTCATATTATAAAAGAACGTCGTTGTGACATATTCAGACAAGAATGTTTTGAAAAAAAATCAATTTTCTCCTAAAGGAGCATTGTGTCAATACGTGTGTGATTTTGGTCACCAGTATTATTTATCAAAACTTGTAAATATAAATTATTTAAAACAAATATGTAAAATTCGAATGTCTGCACATAAGTTAAATATTGATAGCAGAACTGAAAGACAAAACAGATTGTGTTCAGCATGTGACCTGAATGATGTCGAGGACGAGTTCCATTTTATTTTAAAATGTCCTTGCTATATTGATATAAGGTTGAAACTAATTAAGAAATATTATGTAAGATATACAAGCATGTATAAATTAATTCAGCTGCTTACTTGTGAGAAAGTATCCGACATTAGAAATCTGGGCAAATTTTTAATACAAGCGAACAAAAGGAGATCTGAGCTGATTGCTGGTTAATGTTCACTCTCCACGGTGTGTGTGTGTGTGTGTGTGGGCGTGTGTGTATGTGTGTGTGTATCATATTGTATGTTGTCTCTGTATTGTTTTGTATATATGTTATAACTGATAAGTCAACCGACTTACAGTAATAAAGAACTTGAACTTGAACTTGTATATCTTCTTTTCTCACCTCTTTCTTTTCGGCGGTCACCCAAGGCGGTGTCTTAATTCATATGGCCTTAGCTGTCTTCAGGTGTTGACGTTAAATCCCTAACGAACAAATCTGGTATCAAACTTTGCGACTTTTCAGCTCGCCATAAATCATGGCCTATGAAGCAGATTTTTAAAAGGTCAATAAATGTTCGCTGGTTTCACCATCAGTTATGATTGAAAGTAGAGTAGGATAGCTTCGCAATCTTCGTCGGGCCATTTTACCATTGTAACCAGACGCGTGGCTGTTTTATCCAGGAGAGTTGCTATTCGAACCCAGAGAAAACCATTTGGACTACTGTCTGTGGAGTTATAAGTCAGACATCAAGGAGCAATACTTTGGTTCGATGGAAAACCTGGTCGGAGTTATCGTAATAATCTACTTACAGTCCTATCTTACAGTTTATTCTTCATTTATAGTATCGTAGCTGGGGTAATAAACACAATAACTTAAGATAGGACTTGCAGACAGTAATGACCTATTTCATTATGTTTGCGTCAAAACAGGTCAAAATGTGCTTGCTCTCGTATTAATTAATGAATTAAAACACTGACATACCAGATGACAGTAATTTAATACAAACGCCTAATTTGAGCACGGATTTATAAATAGACCGTGCTTTTAGCTGACGCAACATTGATTTACACACCGCGTTCAACAAAGATATTTCCAAAATAGAAGTTTTGTACCGGATATAGGTCCTTGTCAATTCTCATTAACATAAAACTTCGTAACAAATCGTGAATCTTATTCAAAAAGTTCCAGGAATGTTACATATTGGTTTCCAATTTGAAACCATTTTTTAAATGAAAACTAAAAAGCATCCAAAGAATATTTTCGGATGGCTCGAAGCGTCATGGTCATATTGATAAAATAAAAACAATGGTAGGTCGGACGTGATTGAAGACACCTTTCTAATTGATCGATGTGTCCAATTAAACAGACGGGCAGACGTGAACAAAGTGGCAAATTCATTGTGTAGACAGTTTCACGCCACAGTACTGCTTATCTCCAGGTCAAATACATTGCACTTACGACACAAAAGCATTACCCATGTACTTGTAATATACATTATCTCTCGCGACCAATCGCCCGTAACCGGAAATGCGTGTAAGGCCATAAACATTGTATGTGTGTGTTGTGTTTGACAAACTGACGACAAACACAGAGCAATACGTGGTTATTGGGGTAGAGACAAGACATGTCTTTAAATACCTTCATAAACGGGTTGGTACAACAGTATATATAAACAAGAGGTCGTGTAGGATCGGGTCGGGTGGTGTTTAATGTCCCTTAAGAATTGTATGCGTTGGTAGACCGTTAAGCATGTTACAATAATTACAACAGTGATTAGAATGGTGTATAGGAAGGTTAATCATGCGACTTAAAAACACATTCTATAACGTTAATTTTGTTGGTGGCCTAATACTGACCCTAGAGGAAACTGACGTACTGCTACATGAATCACCCTCTCGGTGGTGGTCTGATTTGACCACGTGTATTAACAGTTTCATAAAATAGCTTAAAGAGTAAATCTTTCCAACTGGGAACTTCTGCACTTGGTTTCAGAACTTTTCAAGTGATTATATTTACTTGTGTTTGGTGTGAGTAACGTGGAAATAATGATAACTTCGCCAGGAATTCGTAAATACACGCTGTACTTGGCTCCTTCATCTATTGTCGGGGCACGTTTATCTCTCGCCTAACCAGGAATAGAACTCCGACTGTATAGAAAGCAGACTAGCCTTTCCCAGACATTCTTCTGTTGTCTTACGCAATGACCACGGCATAAATAAGAGTTTATATATAGAAACTCTCCTCTCGTGAAGGACAAAAACAGATAAAAATCGAAAGCGAGCACATGGTCTGCCGTAATACGATACGGCCGAGCTAACACGACGTCTACTTATGGTACCTATGCGAGGTGTTCACGTACAACCATTCTCAAAACAAGTCAACAAACAGGCTATCAACAACAAAGCGGTACCTTTTGAAAACGCCTTTTCAGCTTGACCTAATTTTGACCATTCTATTTGCGCGGGAAATTGTAAACCATACGAGCAGGGCGAACAGCTTTCACGGATCGATACATGTGTGTAGTAAACGCTACAACTCTGTCTGGTTCACCGCTAACAGGCGCGTACACGACATCAAACTCCGTATAATATTTACATTTTTAGTATCCGTTTACGTGGCGAATTACTAAATCAATCCTAATAATTTCTTCACCAAATTTGGTGGCTGAACTAAGGTACACAATGGCTAACACATGGTTGGCAATGCCGTCCTAGAAACAACGAACAGAGACGAAACATGATCACAACATAAAGAGAGAGAGAGAGATTGTTGTAAATATACAGACAGCACACACATGTACACAGCATATGGTTAGAAAACATGACACAGTGAAAACACATTTGAAACAAACCACACGTAAATATTACATTAAATATTACCTCCTCCATGTTGCTGTACAAGATACGGAAATCTCCAAACATTTCCAAGTCCGACGGCATAACTAATCACCATAAAAAAATATTGTAATTTGCTATCCCATTTAGCACGTGCTTTTCCATTTGCCCCTATTTCATCTGTATTGAGGGGCACTGTCAGCTCCCCATTTGCCTCTTCTTCTAAAACATTTTTCTTGGTCATGGTACAAATTCGCCTTCCACGTTGTTTACTCGCAGTCGTAGTAAGGTATGTAATATGAATGGAGCTATCTGATTACTATGGACGAGGCCAAGTCAAAAGGGGAGGTAAGCTTTTCCAAGAGTCGCTAACTGATTTAAAACAGAATAGTTGTAAAACATGTACATTTGTTATACTAGCCCATGGTTAATAAGTAAATACACATGAACGTATACTCTGCGTAGTGTAATAACGTGTGTACTACGAGCTAATGTATAGATGACAATACACGTTCTGAGTTACTATTTCCACCAATCAAATGTTACTACGGAACTCAAAACATTGCGAGGGGCGAGGGACTTTGCTGCTAAGACGAATCATTGTTCTGAAGACACCCATTAGACACGTTCATAGCATGTCTTCATTGCTCTTTGTGTTTTCTATCATATTTCCAGTAAAACACTAGCCTTTTACGAAAATCGGAAAACCATCTGTTAAATTAACGATTTAATTTGACGTTATGGAGATCCTTTTGCCTTGAAATGCACGTACGATTACAACCTATTTTGATTCTTGTCCAAGGGAACTTGATCTGTATAAATATTATATGGGGTCTGCTGATAATACGATGGCATCGGTGACTTTTGGGCGATACGTGGTTAATGCTCAACCCAAATGAATCAATATCTGTCTCCTCTGCACACAGTTGTTTAGTGCGCACGTGAGATCGATGTCTGCATGGCGCTTCAGAGCTCAAAGAAACGATGTCGATTGCATTCATGCCAGAAAGTTCACCACTGAAGCAATATCAATATCATAGAATGATTTATGCGACGGAGTGAAATTGAACAGGTTGTGTCCGCTGAACCTGTCTGATTCTAAAGTTGCTTTAATTTTGAATTAATATTTTTTTATCGTCGTTAATTAAGATACAAAACTGTTTAGAGTCTGTACGTTACCACACATCAGCTCAACACGTGTCAGTTACCACATGCCAATTTTCTATATGTCAAGGTATCATATGGTAAGGTACAAAATGTCAATTTACCACGTGTCAATTTACCGTATGTCCTCGATGTACCACATGGTATGATACCCTGTTTCAAGGTACAGTTAACTAGATTTGATTTGATTTGATTTAATTTAGTTTAACGTCCTATTAACAGCTAAGGTCATTTAAGGACGTACCTCCATGTTTGTAGTGTATGCGTGCTTGCGTTGGTGTATGCAGGAGACAGGGTATGTTGGTAAGCTTGCTTCCTTGTGATAGTGCGGATCTGATGCCGACCTTATAGTGCTATCTCACTGAAATACCATGCCGAATGCACCCACCACAGCATTCCGCCTGGTCACATTATACTGACAACGGGTGAACCAATTGTTGCGATTCCCCTTAGTGCTGAACGTTAAGCAGGGAGTAACAACTACCACTTTTAAGGACTTTGGAAACATGTCAAGAAAACGACAAGAAAATACCGAAGTAAAAAAGAAAAAGAAATGTAATTTAGTATCAAAATCGATAAAGATATGGCAAAAAGACACAAACAAATATTCACATGTCGGTCCCTGCAAAATTTACAAGATAAGAAGACCAGGTGTTTCGGAATAGTAAGAGTCTCCGGCTTCATCGACCACACCTGACCCACATTATAGATATTGGTCGAATCTGAGTAATATCATGTCCTGAAAGTGAGAACCGTGTCAAAGAAACACGTGCCAAAGCATCACATGGCAAAGTACCACTTGTCAAAGTATCACATGTCAAGGTATCACATGGCAAAGTATCACATAGCGAAGTATTAATTGTCAGAGTATCACATAGCAAAGTATTAATTGTCAAAGTATCACATAGCAAAGTATTAATTGTCAGAGTATCACATAGCAAAGTATTAATTGTCAGAGTATCACATAGCAAAGTATCACTTGTCAAAGTATTAATTGTCAGTGTAAACTATACACGTAGGTATTGGGTCATTGGTACCTTTTACTTCACTAAATACTCGAATGTCGAAAAGGTATACTAACAGATAAAAGTAAGCAACCATTGATGTGCCATAGGTGTACCGTTGAACTCGTATCATTGTCGATAGGTTCAGGGGTGCACTAAGGGTTCACCTGTGTCTCTTTATAATAAAAGTGATACTATATACAAGATGTATTTTGTACATAAAGTGCCTGATATCTGCTTAAAGTATTATTGCATATGTCTAGGGTTGTCCATCAAAGTACTTGATGTATTAGCTTGGTACCTGTAATAATCTATTCACAATGCGTGCGTGCGTGCGTGCGTGCGTGCGTATGTATGTATGTATGTACTTACAGTCAAATACATGACGCAGGGTAGTATCATATTCACAACCTTATATTTACACGCAGGGTTTGTAAATAACTTTTTAATGCCACGTTTAATTTTGGACATGAATTGCTGTCTATTGAACATGAAGAACGATAGTATATTATCTATACCTATTTTAAATTGTTCCTAATAACATTATTGCACTCTTAATTGTTGGTGTCTTATTGTCATATGCGCTAGTTAATAAAATGTATCATGATAATTCATTACAGAAATTGTATAACTTAATGATCGGTAGCTTCACACTTAATTCGTAATATTAATAATCTGTACCATCCGATCAAATGCGTAAATTGGAAGGATACCGGCTGATCCGTATCACTGACCCCTGAGTTCGTGAAAATGCATGCGATGTTATGTAGGATCACATAACAAAGTATCACATAGCAAAGTATTAATTGTCAGAGTATCACATGTCAAAGTATCACATGTCAAAGTATTAATTGTCAAAGTATCACATGTCAAAGTATCACATGTCAAAGTATCACATAGCAAAGTATTAATTGTCAGAGTATCACATATCAAAGTATCACATGTCAAGGTATCACTTGTCAAAGTATTAATTGTTAGAGTATCACTTGTCAAGGTATCACATGTCAAAGTATCACATAGCAAAGTATTAATTGTCAGAGTATCACATGTCAAAGTATCAAATAGCCAAGTATCACATGTTAAAGTATCACATGTCAATTATTAATTGTCAGAGTATCACGTGTCAAAGTATCACATGTCAAGGTAGCACTTGTCAAAGTATTAATTATTAGAGTATCACTTGTCAAGGTATCGCATGTCAAAGTATCACATAGCCCAGTCGCACATGTCAAAGTATCAGATGTCAAAGGATCACATAGCAAAGTATTAATTGTCAAAGTAGCACATAGCAAAGTATCACATGTTAAAGTATCACATAGCAAAGTAGCACATGTCAAAGTATCACATGTCAAAGTATCACATAGCAAAGTATTAATTGTCAAAGTATCACATAGCAAAGTATCACATGTTAAAGTATCACATGTCAATTATTAATTGTCAGAGTATCACATGTCAAAGTATCACATGTCAAAGTATTAAGTGTCAAAGTATTAATTGTCAAAGCATCACATGTCAAAGTATTAATTGTCAAGGTATCACATGTCAAAGTATCACATATCAAAGTAATAATTGTCAGAGTATTACATGTCAAAGTATTAATTGTCAGAGTATAACATAGCAAAGTATCACATAGCAAAGTATTAATTGTCAGAGTATCCCATGTCAAAGTATTAATTGTCAGAGTATAACATAGCAAAGTATCACATAGCAAAGTACCACTTGTCAAAGTATCACATGTCAAAGTATTCATTGTCAGAGTATCACATGTCAAAGTATCACATGTCAAAGTATTAATTGTCAGAGTATCACATAGCAAAGTATCACATAGCAAAGTATCACTTGTCAAAGTATCACATGTCAAAGTATCACATAGCAAAGTAATAATTGTCAGAGTATCACATGTCAAAGTATTAATTGTCAGAGTATCACATGTCAAAGTATTAATTGTCAGAGTATCACGTGTCAAAGTATCACATGTCAAAGTATTAATTGTCAGAGTATCACATGTCAAAGTATTAATTGTCAAAGTATCACATAGCAAAGTATCAATTGTCAAAGTATTAATTGTCAAAGTATCACATAGCAAAGTATCAATTGTCAGAGTATCACATGTCAAAGTATCACATGTCAAAGTATCACATAGCAAAGTATCACATGTCAAAGTATTAATTGTCAGAGTATCACATAGCAAAGTATCACATGTCAAAGTATTAATTGTCAGAGTATCACATGTCAAAGTATCACTTGTCAAAGTATTAATTGTCAGAGTATCACATGTCAAGGTATTAATTGTCAAAGTATCATATAGCAAAGTATCACATGTCAAAGTATTAATTGTCAGAGTATCACATGTCAAAGTATTAATTGTCAGAGTATCACATGTCAAAGTATTAATTGTCAGAGTATCACATGTCAAAGTATTAATTGTCAGAGTATCACATGTCAAAGTATTAATTGTCAGAGTATCACATGTCAAAGTATTAATTGTCAGAGTATCACATGTCAAAGTATTAATTGTCAGAGTATCACATGTCAAAGTATTAATTGTCAGAGTATCACATGTCAAAGTATTAATTGTCAGAGTATCACATGTCAAAGTATCACATGTCAAAGTATTTATTGTCAGAGTATCACATGTCAAAGTATTAATTGTCAAAGTATCACATGTCAAAGTATTAATTGTCAAAGTATCACATAGCAAAGTATCAATTGTCAAAGTATTAATTGTCAAAGTATCACATAGCAAAGTATCAATTGTCAGAGTATCACATGTCAAAGTATCACATGTCAAAGTATCAAATAGCAAAGTATCACATGTCAAAGTATTAATTGTCAGAGTATCACATAGCAAAGTATCACATGTCAAAGTATTAATTGTCAGAGTATCACATGTCAAAGTATCACTTGTCAAAGTATTAATTGTCTGAGTATCACATAGCAAAGTATTAATTGTCAAAGTATCACATGTCAAAGTATTAATTTTCAGAGTATCACATGTCAAAGCATTAATTGTCAGAGTATCACATTTCAAAGTATCACATGTCAAGGTATTAATTGTCAAAGTATCACATAGTAAAGTATCAATTGTCAAAGTATTAATTGTCAGAGCATCACAGTCAAGGTATCACCTGTCAAAGTATTAATTGTCAAGGTATCACATGTCAAGGTATCACTTGTCAAATTATTAATTGTCAGAGTATCCCATGTCAATGTATCACTTGTCAAAGTATTGATTGTCTGAGTATCACATAGCAAAGTAACAATTGTCAGAGTATCA